ACACACACACACACACACACACACACACACACACACACACACACACACACACACACACACACACACACAGAGAGAGAGAGAGACTTTTGGGAGAATGCCTTGGGGTTTGGTGTCAAGGCTGAAACGGATTTGGGGTTTAGGGTACCGCCAACTGTTTTGCAGCCTACCGGCAGGGCCGATCGGTCAGCGGTCTGCCGACCAGTCAGTAAACAGCCGTCCACTGTTTTTTTTCTTAATCTGACTATGGGGCTGTACTGCGCTTGCTGAGTACAGCCCAAATCCACTGAGAAACTTTTGGGGGGGGGGGGGGGGGCACAAAGGGCAGGAAGTGGCCTCTGGGTTGGGGGGGGGGGGGGGGGGGGGGGGGGGGGGGGGTAATGGGGTGTTCGTGGGGTTATGGACTCCCAATTCATCTTTTTTTTGCAGGGTGCTGCCGACTGCCAACCGGTAGGTGCCGACCAATGAAGGGGCGTCGACCGCCTGCCTGTGCATTTCTGAAAACAAATAAAGAAAGTTCCCCCCAAAAAGCATGTGATGTTAAACACGATGTGGATTAGAAAAAAATGTTCTTTTTGAATTTTGGAATTTTGGTAATGTATATATTGTCATATCTATGAACTAAAAGAGCGCGCTATGCGAAACAAATGTTAAAAATGAAAATACACAAGACAAACATGAAGAGCACATTGGAACCATTCATTTTTCTCATTCTTCTTTAACTCCCCCTTCACCGTGCCTCTCACATACAAGGCTTGCCATATTGATGAAGTTGAGTGCGAGCTGCCCGCATCTCCGTGTGCCATAACGGCTCACTTGTACGCTGTGAGAAAGAGGCAGAGTAAAGGGGGAGGGGATAAACACAGAGAAGAGAGATGGAGAGGAGACAAAACAAAGAACGACAAAGGGAAAGTAACGGAAAGTAACGAGTGTGGAATGAAGATGAAAGCAAAGGAGATGATAAGGAAAGGCTCAAGAACCAGTCTGTCCTTGACGACAGAGAGGACATACATTGTAAGGATGAGGTGGATGAACACATAAAAGACCTAGCTGAGCATTCTCAGTACAACAATTGCCATGACGGCTGGCATTGAGAATGCCCAACATACACTCCCGACGAATGGCATGTCGATTGCAGGCCAAAATGAAGGAAGAACGGTCGCCACAAAAGACCGTGCATTCAGTATAGCGCTGATGACCACAAAATGGACATATAGTGTCCGGACGAGGAGGGTGCCTGCGGTCAGGAATGGAGGGACAGGCCTCTACACACATGGATGCAGAAACCATGTCAAAGTGATTGCGACAGGGACGATGGCGGCTACATCCAAGTGTAATAGTGTTTGTAGTTGTGCAAAGGAGAATGTCGCAGATCGTTGGTACATTGTCCTGCTACTGCACGGGGCGAGAGGAATGATCTTCGACATAATCGAGATCGCGGACAGTTCGGTGTGGCAATACAACAGCATTGTTATGTAAGAAATCAGTAACATCAGTCATGGCATGGAAAAGCAAAAATTCAGGGAAATATGGCAGTTTCAGTCAAAAATTTGCTGAAAATGACAGCACACCTAGGCTACCAGAGTGCCCGGGTCCACTTGCCCGGCCAGGCCAAAAAAAAAAAAAAAGAAAAAAAAAAAGAAAAGAAAAAAAAATTTTGGTGAA